TATTTTGATTTTATTATTGTTTACTGGGGGTAATTTCTAACTAACTAATAACATTTACACATGTTAAATGTATAATAGAATGTTAATTCATAAAGTTTGTTGTAGAAATTATTCGTTTAGCATTTTAAAACCTTTTTCTATAACCCGTCACCCCTACAATAGAAATGATGGCATGTTCGATTTCCAAGAAATGACCGCTCTCGCAAAATTCCGAGAAATGACAGTCAGTCCCTAGTGTACAACAGTGTACAACAGTTTGGTAGAAATTAAAACACCTCTCTTTGGACTAAGTTTGGAGTGTTATTTGTCAACTTATTTTGAAAACCTATGTGTTTTGAACACTTATTATGAACTACTCACGACTATGGTGTTTTTAATCCTGAACTTTAGTAATAATTGTTACATATATAACTACCTGTGACCACTTTTCGGAATGTTCTAAGATTGCGGACCTGTGCACCTGTGTTGTTTCGCGTTGCAAAAGAGCGCCGTTTTCAAAGCGTTGTTGCAGTCATGGTAGAATGGATAAACCTATTGTGTTTTAAAATTTGATGTAGTCCCACTTTAGAGTAGATACCTCTTTATCAAAATTAAAAAAAAAGGGATCTACTCTACAGTTGGACTACATCAAATTTCAAAACACAGTAGGTTATCTCCTAAATCTGACCTTTTGAAGTCACCGTGGTATTATCGTATTTCTGTTTTCCTTTACCACATGAACTTTATAACAAAGTTGATTGTATACCATGGTTAAAGCGGGCACTGTGACGTTAAAAACCTGGTCATTTAATTGTTTTCTGGTTTTTAATTATGCTGTGATATTAGTAATTCATGTGACAGGAAGATAACATTGTCTAACTGGGTGATCGAGGTTGACAAATAACCTTTTCTTTTGTTTTTCTATCCTTTCATGAACTTGTTAAAATACACTTTTGTTATTTATCGAGTAACATGATGTGGTCACATGACTTGATCCAAGATGTCTGACAGTCGAAATGTTTATAAAGAATTACAGTTATAATGAATTAGAATTACTTGTCTCTTTGAATTCGTTATAACTGCAGTTTATAATTACTGTATGTGGAAACAAAATGTGAAATCAGAATAAAACATGTCAACATCTTGATAGAGTAACAGTGAAAGAGTTAGTGAGCATGTTGCCTTAACACGGCCTTATACAGTATTTCATTTCGAGTCGGTGTATTGAGGAGGAAAAGCCCAATGTGAGTCCAATGTTAAACGTTCACTGCCTTGGTGAAACCCAAGAGCACCAGTATGGTGCTCTCAAACCAAGAATCACAATCAGAAGGGATCTAGTATTCCAACTTACGATAATAGGCACGCCATAAGGATGCACAACGAATTGCGGCACCTATGACGACATAGCCCAACCCGTAACCTCTGATAGAGTGATAGGAAGAACACTCAACTATTGCAACTATTATAACATATATTTTTTAGTAACATTGGTAACTCGGTTAATTAACAATTGATTATTTTTTTTCCGTCAGTCTTTCTACATTTACGAGTGGCTGAAAAGTTCTGAGACTAACCACGAAGGGTGTTTACAGGTTGATTTTAACCAAAATGTAGATTATTTCTGCAGGCATCAGTGTGACTAGGTATTCTCCGTTGGTGAAAATGGACAAAAGTGTTTGCCGTCAGCAGGTATCTCCAACTGAAAGACCTAATCTTAACAGACAACCATACGGATATGGTGTCGACTTAAGGGGATGATGCTCCTTTGCCACTGTTAAGAGGTTGGCAGCAGAGTTAAAGAGGGGAAGGGAGGCTGGAAGATGATCCAAGACCAGGAAGACCTTCAGCTGCCACCACTAACAAACGTTTCGACAAAATACACGTCAAATGGACCCCTCACCACGCGTCACAGAGTCAATACATTAGACATTTCTCATGAGATTGAGTAAGGAACATTTTGAGGAATGAACTGGGCGTGACAAAGGCTTCAGCGCGCCGTGTTGAAATGCTTCTGACTCCTGATAACAAATACTCCATGTGTGTGAATTTACGATGTTTTGATGCAGACCCAGCTGATTTTGTGGGGCGATTAATTTGTAACAGTCAAGGCAGTGGAAACATCTGACGTCACCCGAAGAAGGTAAAGACTGTTCCTTCAGCTGGCAGGGGATGGCTTCGGTTTTCTGGGATCCCAAAGGAATTCTACTGGTGGACTACAGTCCGAAAGATCAGACCATTAATGGTAAATATTATGCTAATCTGCTCAGTGAGTGAGTGAGTGTGTTTGGTTTAACTCCGCTTTTAACAGCATTCCAGTGATATCACTGCGTGGCAGCTTAATGTGTGAGGAAACCTTAAGTGATGCATGTCTCAGACGTTTACCACTTCGGTGAAACCCACGAACACGGGTATGGTGCTGACAAACCTAGAAACATAATCGGGGCGAACCGGGATTCGAACCCACAATCATAGGTTTCTGGCGTGCCCAAGGGATGCAACTCTGCACAGCGAATCGCGGCGCCTTAGACGTCTGGGCCACCCGTGCCCCCTAATCTGCTCAGGCAACTGTTGACAATATCATGGCGCGCGTTGGTGTGTTTGTTCCATAAGGACAATGCACCCGTGCACAAGTCTGTTGTAACCAGGGCAATGCGTCACTATGGGTTTGTACCCATTGAACCTCCTCCTTATTCACCATATTTGGCACCGTGAGATTTCCATCTCTGGCCTTCTACGCCAGTGATCTCCAGGCAGAAGTGTGTGGACCTCGGATGGGATTATGCTGAAACATAATGAGCGAGAAACTGCCTCAACGCAGTCCATCATAGTTAGACTCAGACCTTTTCGGCCACCTCCCGTTATCCTCATCCTTTGTGACAGATTGGTTTCGAACGAATTAGGACTCAACCCGTGAACCGCAGATATTGTTGTCGTTGTTGTTTAACGCCGCACTCAGCAATATTCCAGCTATATGACGTGGTCTGTAAATAATCAAATCTGGATCAGACAATCCAGTGATTGACATCACGAACATCGATCCACGCAATTGGGATACGATGACATGCATCAACCAAGTCAGAGAGCCTGACCACCCGATCCTGACCACCCGATCCCGTTAGTCGCCTCTTACGACAAGCGAAGTCTCCTTCTACGGCAAGCATGGGTTGCTGAAGACCTATTCTAATCCGGATCTTCACGGGACTGCAGAGAGCGTAAGGAATGTGTCACACGTTACAAAACGATCTTTTCATACAGGATGGGACTTCGGTTTTCTTTACGTTGAAGCATTTGTTTTATTTTTAATGCCAGAATCTATTTCACCTTTGATTGTATCAAGATTGTATATTTCAAACCCCAATCGGTCCTTTTAATAAATATCCCATGTCAGAACACAGATCAGAGTCATGCATTTCATATACCACATAGAACAACTTATGAACAATTAATTAAGGTAAATTTGTATAAATATAAAACTTCAATTCCAGGGGACAACCAGTCTCGATTATCCGAGGAAAGAGGTAAACTAGCGGTGAACACACGTTAGAAATACATTTAGTGCGCCTATTGAACAACCTCAAAACGTTTGTCACGAATAAAAATATCTTTGGATGCATTAATAGTTTACTACATTTGTGTAATACTGCCAAGAAGTTGACGTCCGGATAAAAGTTTGTTTGCTTGTTTTTTGTTTGTTTTGTTTTGTTGTTGTTGTTTAACACCGCACTCAGTAATACAGCAATTCCGGCTATATGACGGCGGTCTGTAAATAACCGAGTCTGGACAAGACAATCCAGTGATTGACATCATGAGCATTGATTCACGCAATTGGGATACGATGACATGCATCAACCAAGTCAACGAGCCTGACCACACGATTTCGTTAGTAGCCTCTCACGACAAGCATGGGTTGCTGAAGATCCATTCGAACCCGGAAATTCACGGTCCCGGATATATATAAAAAAACGTTTGCAATTACACGTTATAATGAACTGACTGTGTCAACTGATTTAGTCATGTCCCCAGTTGTCTGGGTCATTTCGTGTGTTCGTTCCACATTGGATTATCATCATTTGTTAAAGCTGTTTGTGGGATCTGAGAGGTGATGTTTCGCCCCCACATCTGCAGAATGACATGTGTTTGTGTGTGTGTGTGTTTGTGTGTGTGTGTGTGTGTGTGTGTGTGTGTGTGTGTGTGAGTGAGTGAGTGAGTGAGTGAGTGAGTGAGTGAGTGAGTGTGCGTGCGTGCGTGCGTGCGTGCGTGCGTGCGTGCGTGCGTGCGTGCGTGCGTGCGTGCGTGCGTGTGTGTGTGTGTGTTTCTTTCGCAATAAGTCAGTCCAGAAGCCATTTCGTCATCTTGCTTTCAGAAATGATATTATTCGTTTGCCTGAAACGTAAACAAGGATACAGTTATTATGTCTCGGACATCAACGTCTTCGATTTGTACATGTTTACAGTATATTGGGGCTTCTAGTGCGAAATTTCGCGATACCGGAAATAGTGCAATCTGTCTGCAACGCCAGACACATGTTCCGGAGCCAGCGTCGCAGAGAGGTCTGGAATAGTGCTTCTTTGCAATTAGAAACCTTCGTCACGTTCAGGACAATTTGAAGGGACATATGATCGGATATTTGTTGGCACTTCTTGTCAGGAAATGACGTCATTAAACGGCAGAAGAGAGCCGACATCACTTAAACCAGACTAATGGATTGTCATTAGTATGCTGTGTGCGTGCTTGTCGCGATTGGCGGAAGTCGGGATATGATTTTGGAAACTTACATGTACTGGCTCGCTGATGGGATGGAGGTCGTCCACGTGGTGATGTCACGATGAATGGGTGGTTGAGTGTCACGTCTAATTGACATGATGTGTGGCGTGACTGTCTCTGTGTGCAGGTGTGACAGGGCGTGGCGGTTTTGTGTGCGTGTCTCTGTACGTATTAGTGATAATATCACGTTGCATAGATGTCACGGTCTGTGGGCGTGATAACATGACGTGCAGGTGTCACGATGCGTGGGCGTGATAATGGCACGTGGTGTACATGTTGGTGTCTCGGTGCGCGGGTCGCAGGATTTCACGCTGTGTAGGTGTCACGTTGCGTGAGAGTCTGGTGAAAGTGTCATGGTGAATGGCCGTCGCGGTGTCGGTGCTGCTTGAACTTTAGAATGTGTGAAGGAATTAAAGCTTGCGTCTGACATAGTGACGGATTTTGATGCTTTGTAAACCTACTGGTACATTACACAAAGAGTGTTACAGATTGTATTCGTGCGTGCGTGCGTGCGTGCGTGCGTGCGTGCGTGCGTGCGTGCGTGCGTGCGTGCGTGCGTGCGTGCGTGCGTGCGTGCGTGTTAGTGATACATGATAGTTGTCAAAGGTCACCTAGCCCTGTCACATCAACAATGCAGTTCATAAACAGGTAGAAATAATGGTGCCCTGAGATTATCCGCTGATAGTTTTGTGGGACCCAATGCTTGACTAAGAAGTACAGAGTTCAACTTAGCTACTACGGTTTACTAGCTGATGCAGCATATGGTCCGTGCTGTCGGCAATCGACATTACCCTGATCCCAAGAGCCCATGTTAATTTATTTGATACCAAACAGTGTGTAAAATCAAAACAAACTGATGAAAACAAGGATGACATCAACCGCATAAGCCACATTGAATCACGTCTTAATCCGTGTGTCTAGACGCTGGACACTAACTGTGCTGCTCGGATTTCAATTCCGCACTAATGTATACGTGCTACCTAACTTGCTATCTGGCATAGCTGCGGTAATTGAAGACTAATATATGTAGTCAGTCTCTTGCCTGTATCATTGATCACAACGCCCGAGACTTGCGGAGAGGTTGCTGATGCTGCTATAAACATAACTCACTCACTCACTATTGATCATTATACTATTTGCAACAGACAAATTACACTAACCACTTGGTTTATGCAAGTCTGTAAATGGATTTGCAAATTTGAGCACCTTATTTTCTACTCTTCCTGCGGTGACTTAATTCTGTTTTAATTAAAGGCCCCTTGTTATGATTCAGAGACAGGAGCAGTCAATACGTGCCCAGGCTACTGAGGGACAGCATGTCCAAAATGTTTCCCGGACTGTACTTGGACAGGTGATCACGTAAATGGACCGACGTACAGGTCACAGGGATCTTAAATACTGATAAATATACGTAGTAAGTGAGTCAGTTTGGGTTAACGCCGCGTTTAACAGTATTCCAGTTATATCACGACGTGTCCGCTTACTGTGGGAGGAAAGTGCCAAGGGATGCAAGTCTCAGACATTTACCACTTCGGTGAAACCCACGAGCACGGGTATGGTGCTGACAAACCTAGAAACATAATCGGGGCGAACCGGGATTCGAACAAAGATTTCTGGCGTGCCCAAGGGACACAACTCTGCACAGCGAATTTCGGCGCCTTAGACCACTGGGCCATCCTTGCCCCTGATTGATATACTTAAACTGTATGCTTGTATGCCAAAATGCCTGGAGTCCTATATGTGCTGTATGTTCTGCGTGTCCTCTATGTTCTACATGTCCGGTGTCTATGCCCTATCTCTTTCATGTATATGACCTGAATGTCCTATAGGTCCTCCATATCGTGTGCCTTATGTGCCTGGTATGTCCTGTGTTTATATATCCAGTATGTCCCAAATGACCTGTTAGTCCTGTATGTAAATATGTCTATATGCCCTGTTTGTCACATATATGCTAAATGTCTATTTCCACTGCATGCACATATGTCTGTATGTCCTGTACGCATGTCCTATATTTATATCCTGCATGTCGATATGCCATGTATGTCCTATATGAGTACGTGCCCTCACTGTATGTCCTTTGTTTCACATGTCATGTAAATCCTATCTGTCTACATACCCTACATGTCCTGCATATCCTGTGTACAATATGTCCTATATCTTCTGTATGTTGGACACAGGATATCCAGTACCTACCGTAACTTACAAGATGTCAAGGACTAACATAACTCACTAGATGTCAAGGACTATCGTAACTCACTAGATGTTAAGGACTACCATAACTCACTAGATGTCAAGGACTACCATAACTCACTAGATGTTAAGGACTACCATAACTTACCAGATGTCAAGGACTACCATAACTCACTAGATGTCAAGGACTCCCGTAACTCGCAAGATGTCAAGGACTACCATAACTCACTAGATGTCAAGGACTACCATAACTCACTAGATGTCAAGGACTACCATAACTCACTAGATGTCAAGGACTACCATAACTCACAATATGTCAAGGACTATCGTAACTCACTAGATGTCAAGGACTCCCGTAACTCACTAGATGTCAAGGACTACCGTAACTCACTAGATGTCAAGGACTACCGTAACTCAAAATATGTCAAGGACTACCATAACTCACTAAACGTCAAGGACTATCGTAACTCACTAGATGTCAAGGACTATCGTAACACACTAGATGTCAAGGACTACCATAACTCACAAGATGTCAAGGACTACCATAACTCACTAGATGTCAAGGACTACCATAACTCACTAGATGTCAAGGACTATCGTAACTCACAAGATGTCAAGGACTCCCGTAACTCACTAGATGTCAAGGACTCCCATAACTCACTAGATGTCAAGGACTCCCATAACTCACTAGATGTCAAGGACTATCGTAACTCACTAGATGTCAAGGACTATCGTAACTCACTAGATGTCAAGGACTCCCGTAACTCACTAGATGTCAAGGACTACCGTAACTCACTAGATGTCAAGGACTATCGTAACTCACTAGATGTCAAGGACTATCGTAACTCACTAGATGTCAAGGACTACCGTAACTCACTAGATGTCAAGGACTCCCATAACTCACTAGATGTCAAGGACTATCGTAACTCACTAGATGTTAAGGACTACCGAAACTCACTAGATGTCAAGGACTACCGTAACTCACTAGATGTCAAGGACTATCGTAACTCACTAGATGTCAAGGACTATCGTAACTCACTTGATGTCAAGGACTATCGTAACTCACTAGATGTCAAGGACTACCGTAACTCACTAGATGTCAAGGACTACCGTAACTCACTAGATGTCAAGGACTACCGTAACTCACTAGATGTCAAGGACTACCGTAACTCACTAGATGTCAAGGACTCCCGTAACTCACTAGATGTCAAGGACTCCCGTAACTCACTAGATGTCAAGGACTACCATAACTCACTAGATGTCAAGGACTCCCATAACTCACAAGATGTCAAGGACTATCGTAACTCACTAGAAGTCAAGGACTCCCACAACTCACAAGATGTCAAGGACTCCCGTAACTCACAAGATGTCAAGGACTATCGTAACTCACTAGATGTCAAGGACTACCATAACTCACAATATGTCAAGGAGTAACGTAACTCACAATATGTCAAGGGCTACCGTTACTCAGAAGATGTCAAGGACTACCGTAACTCACAAGATGTCAAGGAGTAACGTAACTCACAATATGTCAAGGGCTACCGTTACTCAGAAGATGTCAAGGATTACCGTAACTCTCAAGATATCCGTGACCACAGTAACTCACTAGATGTCAAGGATTACCGTAACTCGCAAGATGTCACTGGCTACCGTAACTCGCAAGATTCAAGGACTACCGTAACTCACTAGTTGTCAATGATTACCTAAACTGATTTGAATGGGTACTCATTACTCACAAGAAATCTCTAATAACAGCCCATTGTAGGCAATTGAGTCTATTGTTACTAATAACATGTCAAGTATGTCACAGTCGTATTGTGAAAACAGGTGTAAAACACAATCAAAGCAACCCTCGTGCAATTCATCACTCACTACTAAGTTGACCTCATCAAGGTTCCCTCGAGTGCTTTTACACACTGGGGTCACTAACAGCAGAGACAATTAAAAGATATTTCCCCGCAAACTACTGCGAAGATTTAACCACAAGGAAAAGGCAATTATCGCTAGTTTAAGAAAATCCCTCGGAAGTCGCTGCCTTTGTATAAAACCTTCCCGTCGCAACCAGGGGCTTGCCCTGTCGCTGTAGGAAGCGGTTTCAAGAACTATTCACCTGAAAACTAATTAAGACTTGAGTAGCAACGAAGGCTGGAAGCGATTTCTGATTACTGGTTAGACGAAATAAAGTATGCTTTTGACCAAAACCTTGCATATTTTACACTATTTTGTCTGGGGCGTCTTTCATAATCATGTTCAATCGCTTCAAGATATTATAGTTATTGAGACATAGACTCTATGAGGTAGTGATGGAAGCACTTGACCTTAGGGGGCAGTCTCACCGTGGCGGTAGAGTGGTTATAATTGGGCAAATATGTAGGCTTAAATCAGGTAGAACTGTATGTTATGAGGCGATGCCTGATATGAAAGAGCGTTTTTGTCAGATTGACATTGATATTCCTAAACTAGACCAATTAGGGGTAACGTAAATGGATATGAATGTCAGTCAACTTGTGGTGAAATTTTATTTTAAGAAGAGTAACTTTTCTCATCTGTCTATGTTGTCAAGCAAATGATTTCCTAGCAGAATACGACTACGCGTTTTATCATTGTGATGTCTGGATAATATGTGTTAGTCATAGACTATGTAAGTGTCTGAATATATGGTAGCCATAGACGATGCAAATGTCTGAACATATGTTAGCCATAGACGATGTAAGTGTCTAAATATATGTTAGCAATAGACGATGTAAGTGTGTCCAAGTATATAAAATGATCGAGCCACCCCATTATGTCGCTTAAGATTATTAATATTATCATTATTATCATTATTATTATTATTATTACTATTATTATTATTATTTTCCACCACGACATTAATGAAATACTGCTCAAAGCGGTGTTAAACCTAATTCACTCACTCACTCCCTCCATCAGCTCGTCTTCACTTTCTCTTCACCCTCCCTGTTCAAGTGAACAGAAGACATTGATGCTGTCATCTCGAAGTTCCTCTTCATCTCAGGCTGCAACACGCTACGCTAGAGCAACTACTGACAACTACATTCAGATACATTCAATACCATCATCGTATTGTCGGTGCCTCATCACTTATCTCAGCTATAGCGAATACTCAAACACAGTCGACACTGATCGATGCTCCTCACCTGGGTTGCCCCTTGCGTGGCGGGGCTGGGGGGGGGGAGATTAAATTACAGGCCTGGGGACAAGGCTTGAGTGAATTATACGTTCCAAGGGTGTGTAATATCGGAGAACCTCGCAGCTCACGCGTGATTACGGACAACACTGGACAATGCAGGACCAATTACAGTCAGTGTGATGCAGGCATTGTCGGCTAAATGACACGCGGGATGAGCGACCAACAATTATTTCAACATCCCTACATAGTGGAGCTCTGTAGATGATGGTATCCCAATCCCATCGGCATCTATTCCAAATCTCAAAACTCCCAAATTCTATATAAGCAACCCCTAAAACCCCCCTCTTGGGTTGCACAGACCACTTTCGCCCCTTTCGGAAACACATTAAATGGCCTGGCCGGGCCCGTGTGCGAAATACGCATCAGTCGGAAAGCGCACGTTAAATCTCCAAAGTAAGTAAGTAAGTAAGTAATGATGGTATCGAATGGTATGGCGCTTAACACTGACTTAGTCGTGAGGGGGTATGACTGAGGCAACTGACTGGGTTAGGTGAGGTGAAATCGGGTTTAACGTCGTATTCCAGATTAATGCAGTTATACAGCGACGTCATGCACGTGTGTGTGGCTCCTTGTACTAGACGGGACTAATGCCGATATAGTAGTGCTACCCTACTGAGATACCATACCGCTTCCCGTTTAACATGAATACCCCACTCAGACACAGTGTACTGACTCCGAGCGGACCAGTCCTTCTTTCAGCCCCTTAATGCCGAGCGGTAGTAGCCAGACAGGGTAACAACAAAAACACACTTTTAACGTCTTTTGGTATGACATGGCCGATCCGGCCCGGACCTTTCGCTCTCCGGGAGGACGCTCTACCCCTAAACCACGGAGGCGGTCCAATTGACTTGGATGTATATGGTCTCTGCCACATCATTCCTATTAGAGGTTCATGTCAAATACGATACGTGCCTGGATTATGAGTGAGTGAGTTCGGTAAAACCCCGCTTTGAACAGTATTCCAGTTATATCGAAGTTGAATGGCCTTGTTTGTTGTTGTTGAACGTTGTTTGTTTGTTTGTTGTTTAACGCCGCACTCAGCAATATTCCAGCTATATGACGGCGGTCTGTAAAATAATCGAGTCTGGACCATACAATCCAGTGATTGACATCATGAGTATTGATCCACGCAATTGGGATCGATGACATGCATCAACCAAGTCAGCGAGCATGACCACCCGATCCCGTTAGTCGCCTTTTACGAGAAGCATAGTCACCTTTTACGGCAAGCATGGGTTGCTGAAGACCTATTCTACCCCGGAATCTTCACGGGTCGTTGAACGTTTTACTCCAATATTCCAGCTACTAGTATATAACGGCGATCTGTACGTAATCGAGTCTTTTAAAAAATGCACAAAAGTGCACATACTTCAGAAACGATTTACGTTTATTAGCCGTAAGTTGAAGAAAATGTCAGACAAGAAATCATCGTGTTCACTATCTCCCGCCACGGAGCAAATTAGTATTCCCTTTGTTCATAAAGTAGTGACTAACATGGAAGTAAATGTTATAAAGCCTCAAGAAGAGATAGGCACTAAGGTCGCTTAATGTCATCAGACAAATTATTAAATGTGAAATTAATACTTTGTGTGGAGGTCCCAACTCTGGAAAAAATAATTTATGGCACCAACTTTCGAACCGAGTCTCTTAGATGAGCCTGCAAAGTTTCATTCATGTAACTTCAGTTGTTTCTGAGAAAACCTGTCCCCACTGCAGACACAATGCACTGAGTAAAATAGCTTGGATCACGGGCCGTTGAGTTTCTCAAACCTATGAGATGCGAATCTCTCTCACTTCACCTGGACTTGTGCTAGACACCTTGACTTAATCAAAGCTGTAATAAGCGAATCTCTCTCGCTTCACGTAGACACCTTGACTTCATAACACCCAAGATGTTGTGTGTCTCGTGCTTAGTGCATGTGATTATTCTTACCTGCCAGTGTTTTTTTGTTTGCATTGAAGAGTGAGTGTGCGAGTGAGTGCGTGAGCTTGACGACATTTTCAGCAATATTCCGGCCATATCACATTCTCACTCATTCTCCACGTGAAGCTCGGTGACACGATATTATATGCACGTCACGTATGCAAAAAGCAACGTGTAACAACAACGATATAATCTTGACATTACTCGAAACGTATGTATATACAGGTCTTGGTCAGTCATGTCCAATAGTACTCAGACCTGAGGAGGCAACATCGCATGAACGAACACTAACAAGAGTCATCAGAAAGATGACATATCCCCCTGGCAGCTGTCTGTAAAGTAACCACAAGTAAATGTGCAATTCTGTATATAATGAGTCAAGAGTTGAATGTTCTTTAAGAAGCATACATTGTTTACCAACAAAAGATCCACCATGGTCTCATCCATATGAAATGGAAAGTAAAGCATGTGTGTTTCTGTGGGTTTAAGCAAACAAATGACAAATTACAAGAAACAATAACTAAACAAGCGTATAGTCAACGAAGTCATCTATATCCCCCACCCATTTAACATGTTATGGTCCCAAACTAGGTAACTGACCCAACATTTCTCTTAGCCCATGTCAAAATAGCTGCAATGGAAATTCTAAAATAAACATTTCTAAAACTCCTTAATAGCAAATGGCACCAGTTCAGTATGTACTTTATATATAGACATACAATGTTTGTCAAGGAAATATTTAACAGATTATTTTTTATACTCCATAAGTGAATCCACCCTATATGAAAACTTAAATCCAACTTATTGCCATGGAATCGTAAAAAATAAAGATTTATAAAAGTGCTAAATATCAAAAGGCACCAGTTCAGTATGTGCCTGGTAGACATGCAAAGTTTTGTAAGAAAGTATTTAAAGGGGAAGTGTACACGCAAAAATCACTTTCTTTCTTTTTCTAAACAAAACGCAATTTTAGAATTAATTAGTATCTGTGTTTGAAAATATACACTCATTTTTTTCACAGTGAAAGTAGGAAGCTCACAATAGTGTGAAAATGATATGCCGTTATGAGGCCTTCGTTTTTCGAGCTAAACAGGCCTGAGTTATCCCCCTTAGATTATGACGTAATTGGTGCCAATTCAACTGGGTCCCTGTCTATTCTCAACGCAAAAGATATCAAGTACCAGTTTGCGGTAAAACAACATGGCCTACGACACACTCCGGCGCAGTGGTGACTCAGCATAACACTATGCTGGCTGGCAACTGAGACGCTAGAATCACACACCTGGACCTACACCACGT